TAAGGAGGGCAGAATAGTGATTTCAAGTCCCTGGGCTCTACTACCATGAGTTTCACAACCTGGGGCAAGTTACTGAATTTCTGAGATGATTAAATAAATTAGCACAGGCAAAGTACTTTAAGTCTGGTACAAGGGACTCACTCAGTTAACAGTCAGCCACCATCTTAAACATTATTTTAACACCTTTCATCCTGTATCTGCCTGAACAACTGTATATTCTTAAGTCATAAGGATCTTAGACATCAGTTTTCCACATACACCAACAGAATCCCTAACAAACTCTTGATATTTGGTAAACCAAGAACATAGTCAAATATTTACATAGACAAAACGTTTACTGCTGTTCATCAAGCACAGCCTTACAAACAGTTCCACAGACTTGCAAACAGTTCCAGTAATTGAAAAGTTCCCCGAAGTATATAGTACCTACTTTCTGTTCATTGGTCTCTTTTCCCACCTCTGTAAGCTAAAAACAAGCCTGCATCTTCTAATTTCATCCATATGAATATCCTCTAACTATTTTAAAGCAGATGCTTGTTCATTTCTCAGGCCCAACCACAAATAATGTAGTGACCCCCGTTGTCCTTTAAGAATAATAGCACTCTGCTCATCGTAGTTAACAGGCTCCTGTCACTTGGCTCACTAAGAGTTAGCAGACTTCTTTGGACTTTGTTGATGTAGAGACTTGAGGAGGGAGCAGTCTGTTCCCAGGATGCTGGGAAGAGGACCAAACAGCTGTCTTTGGAATGCCAGGGCAGGTGTAGCTCCCTTTTTATATTTCTGCATGCATCAAATGAGGTCTGTCACTGGGTCAGTATTCACGACCTGGGGTGCGCTGTGCTTGCTTTCTCACTGATATGATGGGAAAATTCTTACGTGCTTTGCACCGCTTGAGCACTTATCATATGTAAACTGTGTGAATTTCAAATACTGAGCTTACAACAAAAGCTCTCAGTTTTTCAGCATCAGTCAAGTGGGGGGCGGGGGGGTGCTACACGGGGGACTACATATCTTTTCTCCAGGCAAAACACTGCAATGTCCCTTTATTTTCTGTGCTGTACCTTTACCATCCTCACTCCCATCTTTAGGACCCACTTCATTTTGTGAACAAAGAAATCTGATAAAAAGAAAAAATGAACAAGGCCTAAATTATAACAGTGATAATAGATGAGGATCAAATGGTACTAACCTGAGAAAGATTTAGGAATTAAATAGACTAATTATAATTTCACTTACTAATTCAAAAACCTGATAACTATTCTTTACTATTTCTTTGCATATTTTTGGTGTCTATTCTCAACATAATGCTTAGTGACATGATTCTTGAACAGGCTACTTGCTCTCATTAAGCACCCAGTATGTCATGTAAGAAGTACAGAGTTGACCTAAATAAATACTGATCTCTCTCTCTCTCTCTCTCTCTCTCTCTCTCTCTCTCTCTCTCTCATAGTCACCTATTTTTTATTTAACTTTTTCAGAACTCCATACTGTATGGAATACTGAGTACTGTATCTGCATCATTTCTTCCTGCATCATTTCTTCTCTTCCTTCTCCCTGCCCCCAACTTCTGCCATGTCCCTCCTCTCCCTCTCAAATTCATGGCTTCTTCTTTAATTATTATTGTTATATACTACATTAATATAACCTACTGAGTCCTTTAACACTGCTTCTATGTACATGTGTTTAGGGCTGACAACTTGGGCCTGGACATCTATCAGGAGGCTCATACCTGGAGAAAACCGGTTTTCCCTCCCTCAGTATCCATTGATTGCTCGTAGCTCTTCATCTAAATGTGAGTCTTTGTGAATTTTCCCCCATCTGCATTTGCATGTCAACCAGCGTTATTATTATACAGGTCTTGTTTAGGCAGCCATATTGTGGACATTTCATGGCTGCAGCTTCTTTGCCATGTCTAGAAGACAGTGTCTCACAGAAGGCATACTGGTCCTCTCGTTCTTACAGTCTCCCCACCCCTTCCATGACATTCCCTGAGCCTGAGCCTCAGGTGTAGGAGTTACATTGTAGATGTATCAGTTGGAGCTGGGCACCCCATGATCACTTATTCTCTGCATTTTGTGTGGTCTCTTTTTAACCCTAAAATTTATGACCCTACAAGATGAATTCATTTCTTATTTAATGTTAGAATCATAAAATATGTTCATAGAGGCTTCCATAATACCAAGACTATAAATATATGTATATGACTCACATTAAGTCTACATAGATAGAATATATCAAAACTTAAGGCATTTTCAGTGCCCCATCTTCTTCACTTACCTACTACCTCCAGTACCAAGTCTCTTTGTTTGGTACCTAACCATACTGGTAATTCCTTGGCTTTTGCCCTCATTGTTTCTGAACTGAATTCTTGTAACAGCACGTTTTATGCTCTCTCTGGCTTCACCCTGATAATCTTCTGAACACACTGGAGAACTCTGGAGTCAGAAAGACTTAGCACTGAATGCTAAGTCCACTGCTTCTTCCTTATGTAATTGTCAGCAAGTTATTTAACCTCTTAAACTCCAAGTTACATTATATGAAAACCATAGAGATGCTTGAAGATTAATGTTTGTAAATTTCTTAGTATAGTACCTATTACTAATGCTAAAAATGGCATTACTTTGAAAGACTTATCTCAAAAAGACTTGATCAGGCACTTCACAAAAGAAGAAAATCAAGTGGTCAAATTAAAAGAAGGAAGGAAAGAAGGAAGGAAGGAAGGAAGGAAGGAAGGAAGGAAGGGGGAGGGGGAGGGGAAGGGAAAGGGGAAGGGGAGAAAGAAAAAGAAAGAAAGAAAGAAAGAAAGAGAGAGAGAGAAAGAAAGAAAGAAAGAAAGAAAGAAAGAAAGAAAAGATGTTCTCATTAGCAATCAGCAAAATGCAAATTGATGCATGTATGAGTATAATTACATATCCACCTGATTAGAAAAATATGAGAACTTGTAAATCAAGTGTAGAAGACGATGCTGAGTTTCTCCTATACCACTGCCATGGGTATAAACTGATGTATCCAATTGGAAAAAAATACTTTGGAATTATTTAGTACAACTAAAGGCACACATACCTCAAAACTTTTCAGTTCCGTCTTAATATGTATCCTAGATGAATATGACAGAATCTAGATACAATCTAAATGCCCATCAATAATAGAGGAATAAACAAATGTTGTCATGTTCCCATAGCAGAATGCCATGTGACAATTTACACAAACTGCACACATGAACATAGAAGAATCTCACCATGTTTAGAACAATCATCAGGTGACTAAGGATGTGCACACTATGACTGAAAAGCTGTGGAACTGAAGCACAGACAAACTAAAATGTATAATGTAGAGATGCATAGGCATAAATTCTACAAAAAAGCAGAAGAATGAGGGGTAGAGGGAGGAGAGCTGTCAGTGGTCACCTCTGGTGTGGAAGGAAAAGTATTTGATCTGAATGGAACACACAGCTTACTGGGGGTCTACCTCCTTGTGTCCATAAACTTCCTGTCCACTGAGAAGCTTTCCTGCCACGTGTTCACTGTACTCTTCTTCTGACTAGTTTCTTACTATATGTAATAGTCCACTAAAAGTCATCCTTGACCAAGTCTGACTATATCTGTGCTAGAGCCCCCTCTTTGAACTTCCTTCAACACCCTATGTCTATGAAATTTCACTCTACAAGTACACATTCTGTAGAATATATCTGCCCCATTAATAGCACATCATATATGTACCACATTCTTTAAACTGAAAAGTTCTTCAAAACAGAAAGGTTCATCCACTCCAAAAGAGAAGAATGATATCTACATGACGGAGTCTCATTAAATGTTTGCTTAATGAAGAAATGTTTAGCCTGGGACTAGTATGTCTTCTACATTGCCAAAAGTAACATATAACAATGTATTATATTCAGCCATATAAAACCGCCATTATTGTAGTTCACAAACGATTGATTATTGGCGATTACATATGATTTTTCTTCACAAAAAAAAATGATGAATGCCTTTTGAAAAAGCATACTGGAGTGAGGACACTTAGATCTTCATCTTTAATATATTGGAAGGCAGGTTGTAAAAATCATAATGTAGATAACTATACAATTAATTTCATCAGATTTCTGCAGCTAAAACCTCTTCATTAATTCACAGGACAGCCCTCCTATGAAGATTTACATAAACTACTAGGCAAATGAAAGAGAGATGTTGATCACCAGCTCAGAAGAGCTTCCTTGGAGTCTTACAAATAGCACCACTGCATTCTGTTTCTCAAAGACATTATTTTACAGATTATAACTCATTCATCTCCTCTGGGGTTTATTAACTATTGACTTCTGTGACTATGAGGCATCAAGATTTGATTTAAGAAGACATTCCACTTGGGTGTGTTGATATTTTTATAAAATAATGAATTTCCAATTATTCCCAGTAGGAAGAGCAACTAGATATATTTTTAACATTGTTTTTCTAAGCAAAAGGATTTGTGAATTCAAATATCTAAAAGCTGAGTTTTATAAAACTGTAATGGGATTCTCTGTCCTTTTTGTCTGAAGATCCTAAATGGTGAGTGAGTGAGTGTGTGTGTGTGTGTGTGTGTGTGTGTGTGTGTGTGTTTCTGCAAAGAACTGAGTATTATAATATAAAGCAGCTCAGAAGAAATTTTTCCATTAAAGGAGTTTAATCAATAAAATGTAGCCACATACTGCAAATAAGAAATGCCACTTAAAAATAATGCTACCCAACTGTTACTCTATAGCAGGATATTATTAACTGTAGTCATCCTGTGTAGACTGGACAGCACATGGAGGTGGCGTATCACAAGAGCTCACAGGATCATATGTGATTTTTAGGAGAATCACACCATTATGTACATGTTCTTTTCTACTGATTTCCACTGAGAGTGACATTATTTGGCACAGCATTTCTTCAAATCCATATACGAAGCCATATGCAATACTCAAATTAGTCATGTAGCTCATAAACTTCCTGATAAGGAATATTTTTAATTTTTCAACTTACCACTGCTTGTGTAGTTTCTCATCTACAGAAATGGGTCTAATTCAACAGCTTCCTGCATGTGTTGCCACAACCAAGGTTCAAGATGGTCCTGCAGGTGACGTCACTCACACTAGCCTAAAATCAGAGCAAAGGGCACATCAGATTACATTTAAGATTTCCACAAAATTTCACCACCTTTATAAAACCAAAATATTGGCATCAAATACAGTAAGACAATTTTTTCCCAGGTAGCAGGGAGATAGCATAAGACAATTAAAGTAATTACTGACATTAGAATTTATTGCAAACAAAAGAACCTTGGTATTCTCAATACAAAACCTAAAACAACTAGATATATTTTAAATCTGACCATAAAGCTCAATTAATAAATATCTGGATTGACAGAATTTTTAAATATTTTATTATTTTTATTTTATGTGTATGAGTAGGCAATATGCCTACATGTATGTAAGTGCACCTGGGTCATGCAATGCCCACAGAGGTCAGAAGAGGGGGTTGGATCCCCTGGAACTGGAGTTAAGGGCTATTGTTAGCCATCATGTGGATCCTGGAAACCAAACCCAGGTCCTCTACAAGAGCAGCCAGTGCTTTTGACCACTAAGCTATCTCTCCAGTTCAGGTTATTTATTTTTGTAACTATAGAGTTAATTTTGTCATAAAAAAAAATCAATTCAGTCTCAGTTGGAACATATTCTTCTTTTTGCATTAGAGTTCACTGGAACAATTGTGTTACTAACAAAGAGAGGAGGAAAGACTGAAAACCTGAGATACACAAGAAAACTAACTGAAGTTGGTCTGAAGGCAAAAAGAGACCTCCATATTTTTCTATAACCAGAGCATGCCTTTAATCCCAGCACTCAAGAGGCAGAGGCAGGCAGGTCTCTGTGAGTTCAAGGCCAGCCTGGTCTACATAGTGAGTTCCAGGACAGCTGGGGCTACAGTGAGACCCTGTCTCAAAAAGACCAAAAAAAAAAAACAAAACAAAACAAAACAAAACAAAAAACCCACTTTTCATCCTTATCACCTGGTATTTCTTAGGATTTCATTAGACCAGATCCTCAAGATCTGTGCCAGTTTCCAATTTTCTGTCCTTTGTCAAACCACATTTGATTTCTAACTTGTGAAATACAGTCACCAAACTGAAAATAATTATCTTTTCTAGTCCAAATAAGAGTCTTGTGCAGGGCATGGTAATGCACACCTTTAATCCCAGTACTCGGGAGGCAGAGACAGGCAGATCTCTGCGAGTTCCAGGCCAGCCTGGTCTATGTAGAGTTCCAAGCCAGCTGGGGCTATAGGGAGGCCCTGTCTCAAAAAGACTCAAAAAGACCAAAAAAGTAAATAAATAAATAAATAAATAAATAAATAAATAAATAAATAAATAAGAGTCCCATTCTGGTCCAAGGGCTTACAATGACATCCAGAAATATCTTTCCCACCACTACTCTCACCTGGCTCCAGTACCCAGTGTGGCCTCCACTGACACCTACCATCATTTCAGAGGTGAATATCTTTTTCTCCTGCATTCCTGTTGCACTTACTGTCAAATTACTACTATGTATTGGTAATGCCAGTCCGTCTTTGCTGTTGTCCAACCTCAGCTCCCTACATGAGCATAGATTCCAAAAGGCCAAAGCTTTGTGTTACTATCCCATTCTATTTTAGGAGAAAACTCTATACATGGAAGTCGTTTAATGAATACCTATTGTGTTCCACTATGTGCCCAGCCAAACAAGAGGGTCCCTGACAGGTTATAATTTAGTGAAATCCATGTAACTCGGCACAGGAGATTACTATTGTGTGTGGTAACTGGTGTGATGAGGGAGCCTCCTCCTGCAGACACTGAATGAACATAGCCAAATGAGCAGATCTAAGAGCTTCCTTTGCTCTCTTTGGTTTCAGATCCTATTTCCATCATACAAGAGGACAACGACCAAAAGATCCCACATTCAAGAAGTACCCGGAGCATCCAGGGGGTAAAACCAGTCACAAACCAGGGTTGTCTTTATAAGGACAGTCCTCTGATGTGAATTTTTAAGTCACTTCAGCTTTTGTTTTGCTTTGTTCCTCACATTAAAAAAGAAGGAAGGGGAGGAGGTAAGGGGAAGAAGCAGTAAAATCCTGTTTCTCACTGAGCAGGCTGCTCGGCAATGCCTCGGTGCCCTGCACGGTGGCTTCACTGTGTTCTACACAGCACACAGGGCTTTGGAGCAGCTGTGATCAGGAGTGCTTCTTCAGGAGCATTCTGTCACTATTTTTCCATTCAAACCTTGGCTTTCATTCTGTCAAGCATTATTTATCCTTAAGCTTGTGCTTTCTAGGTTGTAGGCACCAGGTATAAGCATGAGAGAGGCCAATGTAGTTTGTTGTGGAGCCAAAATAGCAATTAAACTAGAAAATCCTTCACCAGAAGTAGATATGTTTAGAACCTACTTTCAAACCTACAGGTCTCATTCTATTCAGGGATTTACAATGTCACATGATGTCTCCTCTATAGAGTTTTAATCAAGATTTGCAATAAGAAATGAAGCTTTTCTACACCAAATACAGAGGAAAATGGTCCCCAAACGTACAGCTCTTCATTCCTTTTTTCACCTTAATTTGCTTGCAAGGTTAAAATGTACTCACACCAAAAAAATCTCTGCCCAAAACGTTAGAAGTTCAGTGTGGAAACACGTACAGAGACACAGGCTCCAATTCTAAGCAGCAGTTTCTCTTTCAAACAACATGCAGCATGCTTTTATCCAAATCAGCAGCATGGTGTCTCATCTCAGAATTATATAATGCAATAAAAATTTCAATATGCTAAAGAAACAAATGGATTTTGTTGTCCTTTGCCAAGAAGCTTCTCACCCAGGAGTCTATAGGCCCAACTTTCCCCACAAGTTCTGGGTGCTCAAAAGAAGGTACAATAACAGATGCATGTGTGGTAGGAAGGAGATGCTCTGCAAGCCTGCAGCAAGTACAGCACTGGACTCCTCTCTTGTCCTTACTGGACACTTCTGTGCCTCTTCTGCATCATTGCCACAATGCCAACCAAAAGCTTTAAAAAGAACTAAGGGAGAAATAGAAGGCCCTGTGCACAGATCATTTAAGGTGCCAATTTGTTTGCTTTTTATGAAAATCAAAAGAGGTATCTTGCTTTCAGTCCATGTTTCTGATAAGCATTTAAGGTGCCAATTTGTTTGCTTTTTATGAAAATCAAAAGAGGTATCTTTTGCTTTCAGTCCATGTTTCTGATAAGCAACCAAGTATTCATGCGATGTGAACATACTATTTCCACTCAACATCTTCTATCTACAAACATGACCTGAGGTCAGAGCTAGAGCATGAAGGGAGAATATCTGTCCCCATGTTTAACAAACAAGGATGTCTCAACTGGTCTTCATCTTTTGTCATCAGTATGGAGAAACTTTGCAACTAAGCATGTATTCAGAGACAGATTCATTTACATGAGACCATAATAAAACTTTAAATATATGTATGTGCTTTAAACACGTACAGTAAGCAAATCTCTTTTGCTTGTTATATTCTGATAGTACACACACTGACAATGAATCCATGTTCCTGTAAATTCTAAATAATTATATATTTTATAACATCCATGATCAATGCTCAGTTCATCTTAACCTTGAAAATGCTTGACCACGTACTATGAGACCATAGCACTACTAAGAGCTGCAGACGCAGCAGACAATGACAGCAAGAACACATCAGTCCCTGTGGGATCTGTTCATAAACACCCCTTCCAGCCTGGCAAACACACTCCCTCCCGTGGCAGATGCTGTTCTGGGGTAAGTGAACGGGAAGCCAAAGGCAGCTGATTTTTCCACACAACATATAATTTCTTACTGGTTCATCAAAAGGAGTCTCTTTCATTGCAATTGCAAAGATTTTGCAAGGACAGGCGCCCTTCAAATGAAAGATACTTTGCAATGACAGGACAGAATGGGATGCCATCAAAGGAGCAGGAAAACTCTTTCAGATACAAGGTCATGCCACCTTTGTCATCCGATCTTCTCATCTCATTAAAGAAAGAAAATCCCATTTGACTCCTGTAATAACATATATTAATATAATACTTTATGTCAATTTTAGGAATAAGATCCAGGTAAAGAGACAATACTTACCAGAAGCAGCAAAACCACTACATTCAAACTGGCCTGCCAGCCCCAAAAACCCAATGATTCCAAGTGGAGCTTCAAGCTCCTAAATTCATTCATGAGCACAACTATCTGTACCTGCATCAATACGCACGTTCTCCTTGGACAGAGCATCTACAGAAGGCTCTCTAAGAGAATGGGTATTGCCTCAACCATATCAAGTATGTTGATCAGCATTCTGCAAGATCTTCCAGGGGTTGACAACAACAGCACAGGGATAGAGTGTTAGCACACTAACACCCATCTTCCTTCACTCTACAGAGGCCTGTCCTGCATGACTTAGCCTGCTTCTTTGCAGTGTGCTCAGGAAAGTTATCGTCAACACACCAGAAGCAGGCAGAGCTGCTGTCCAGACATCGCTCTGCAGCAAAAGCAGACCACATAAACAACCTTGTGATCGCTTCAGAACCTACTGCCTTAGGATAAGTTACTCTTTTTCTGTGACCAAATTGCAGTACCCTTAGAAGTTATCTGCATAAGGGAGTAAAAGCAGCATTTGGGTCTCCAGATTTAAATGTAGGAGAGAAAAAGAAAAGTATACACACACACACACACACACACACACACACACACACATACATAATTTTCTTGAAATATCCATAACCTAATTTGCTTGACAGTTTTTCAATAAATCACATTTATTTTGCTGAAAACACATACACACATAAATTCTGATAACTAGATCACTATTCTCTTTTCTGATGACAGCTCCTTTATTTCTGTAAAAGCTGACATTTCTAGGGGACACAGTATCCCAGCACAGAATACCTGGGAACCTTGCCATGGAAAAATGCTGCCCTGCCTGACTAGGAGATCACTTTCTTAAAGGGACCTTTACCTACGTAACTGCGGTGTTAATGTTTGCTCTTCTCTCTAACCCAGCCCCTGTTCTGTGTTCCTGTCTGCATCCCAAATTTAGCCCAGGGTCTCTACAAGAAGAATGTCATTAGTTCATATCTAATAATGTATGTGAATACCACTAAACTGTATAAATATGTTCCAAAATATGTAAAGTTACACCTGTCTGGAAGTAAACATAAATATTCATTAATGACATTTTTCATGGGATGGACAACAATTCTCAGATAAACTGAGGTCAGCACTTCTAACTCTCTCTCTCTCTCTCTCTCTCTCTCTCTCTCTCTCTCTCTCACCCCCTCACCCCCTCACCCCCATGTGTGTATGTTTTTCTCTAACTCTGGGTTGGACTGAAAAACCCCTGGTCACAATAATAATGGTCTGTCCCACCTTCTAACACTCTGTTACAAACAGGAAGGTCTCAGCATGCCTCAGCTGAGAAGAGATGCTCAGCCCAGAGAGAAACGCCTGGGGCTTCTAGCCTCAGAGATAAGTACGTTTCATTAACTGCTGTCCACCACATAGATTCTCACTTTCCCATGCTATCTCCCACCCCACTATGATCGATGTATAGATTTCACCCACCCTCCCAGAACAGGTTAGAACCCAGAATAACCAAAGAGCCACCTACCATTCCGTGTCTGAGAACTAGGATCCTGATCCAGCAGTTTTCCCCAGAAATCCCTCTACTGGGTTTTCATGAACCACATTCCACACAGGAATATGGAGAGATTATTTGGAGATGGAGAGGTTATTTAAAAATGATAGGTGATTTCCAAGAAGACCCAACCTTTAACTCACTCAAGCCCCTAGGAATTGAGGGGTGAGGAGGAAAAAAGAAATTTGTAAAAATGAAAAAAGAAAAGAAAGGGGTAAGCATATAAGAAGCGCCACCCACCCCCATAAAAATGAAAGGAGATGGGGAGGCTTTAAAGAGAAGAGGAAGAGTGGCTTGCTGAATCACCCTCTTTCACTGCCTGGAAACCATTGTGCAGCGGGAGGCTGCCTGTACCATTGTGGAACCTACCAGAGGAGACGGACAGAGGGCTTGGGGAATGGGGTTGCTATGGCAACTGAAAGGAGCACATATGACGTCAAAGCCCACAGAGGTCTAGGGAGGGGTAAGAGGAGAGAGAAAGAGGAAAAAGTCTATCTACGGCTACACTACCTCGTTTTCTGAGCAAAATGAAGAGCATACAAAAATGTAGAGGAACAGGGCAGCCAGGATCAGCAAATTCGACCCCGGAGAGCCAGTCCGCACAAGCAGAGAGGCGCCCACTCCATGCAGCTCCTGCTTTTGCACCGCGGCACGCGCGGGGGACAAATGCCTGCAAATTTAAAAAACACTGGAAAGACAGTTAACCTCGCTTTTCAACCACCTCAGCTTTTTGCAAGCTGGAGAGAGCCATACAGGGAAGGAGGGACGGAGGGACGGAGGGAAGGAGGGAGGGGAGAGAGCGGAGAGAGCGGAGAGCGGAGAGACACTCTAAATGTCAAAACAAACAAGGGATGGTCATAATCAAACAAGGACTGGGGCCTCTCCTGAACCAGAGGTCATTTGCACAACACATCCTCCTCTGTTTCCGTATTTTCATAAAAATCGTGAATAAATATCCACTAAATCAAACCGAACGGGACTAATGCTTAGATTTCAATTTAAGTGTAGAAAGGAAATACTGACAATTCGATTTAACAAATGAGGGTATCGGGTACTTTTTTCTGGTTTCAGAAGCTTCTCTGAAAAGCTGATGTAAATTGCATCATTACTACAAGGGGCAAATAACTCGATTTAATGACTTATTCTGACTTTGTTACAGGATATTTTTATTTTTAGTTATAAAAACAATATATAAAAGTTATGGTTTCATGGAATAAGAGCACTAGGCTACTCCCATTATTTAAATGTTTATCAAAATTTTTAACCTCGTGTGAAAACATAAGAGATAATTTCAATGCATATTTTGAAAGTAATCCTAGCCTTTCGGCTTCTCCAGCCACACAGTCAAATCCAGTTCCGTATTTCCTTAAACACTTACCAGGTGAGCTTCTGTCTGTTGAACCAAACAGTCCTGAAATTTATGATTCTATGCTGTGCTTTGGAGCTAGCATATGACATGAATAAGGAGCTTCTGTCATAGGTTAATAGGAAATATATAACATGAGACAGATGTGAACCCCACAGCAATGGCAGATATGTCAACGTAGCATGAGACTGGAAGGGATCACACAGGGTTTATTGGTTTTGGATTGTTTTATTCCGGAAAGATGTTAGAAAATTAAGGGCTACAGTGGGAGGCTTTCTATCACCCTCATCCACTGGAGAAGTTTTTGGTTCTTTCTTTGTTCTAAACTCAAGTTCAACGAGAATCATTTGACTACTAATTTTTGCTCTCCACTTGAGTGCCTCCTATAAAACCACGGATTGATAGTCAAATGACTTCAAAACAGAAAGGAACTGGCATGCTGGCTTTTGAATTATTGCTTTGTAAGTTTTGTTTTCTTTATTTCTCTATGTCTCCCCCAACCCCTTCTGTGCTAGGAACTGAATCTCAAGGCCTTGCCCATGCTAGGGAAGCTTTCTACACTGTGCTGAGCGACATCCTGTTTGTTTTCTGAGTTTGGATAACAGAAGTCAGTCCCCAGTAACTCAGGATCAGTGTGAAGATCATGAACTTGAGCTCTTATTTTATACTGTAAACATAATATTGTTATACACCAAAACATAAGTTAAAAGTCTCTAAAGCTATTAAGATAAAATGTAACTTTTACAAGAAAAAAATAATTTTATGATCTTGAAGTAGGCTAAGATATGGGGATAATAATGAATTCACTCTGGAAAAAAGAAAAAGTCTACTTTATCAACATTAAAAGCTTTTACTTACCCAAAATTATCATGAAGAAAATGGATGAGCCACAGACCAGAAGAAAATATTCTTGGCACACATGAAAATATACCTGATACACACTGTGCTGGATAGCTTTAGTATCAACTTGATACAACTGGGTTGAGGGAGCCTCAGTTGGAGAATTACCTCTATTGGACTGGTCTGTGGCCATGTCTGAGGAGCATCTTCTTGATGAGTGATGTGGGAGGGCCCAGCCCACTGTGGGTGGTGCCACCCCTGAGCAGGTGGGCCCATGTTGGATAAGAAAGCAGGCTGAGCAGGGGCCAGGGAGCAAGTCAGTAAGCAGCATTCCTCCATGGCCTGTGCTCCAGCTCCTGCCTCCAGGTTCCTGACCTGAGATCCTACTTTGGGCTCCCTGACGAACTGCCACCTGGGAGATGTAAGCTGAATAAACCCTTTCCTCCCCAAGTTGGTAGTGGTCAGAGTGTTTTGTCACAGCAATGAAGAAACAAACCGGGACATACGCGAAACAGAAAGGAACTGGCATGCTGGCTTTTGAATTATTGAATTCAAAATAATTCAATTATTGAATTATTGAATTATCCAGATTATATAAACATGAACAACTCAGGAGTGAAAACAAACAAGCAATTTTGTTTAATAGGTAAGATGACTTGAGCACACATTGGACAGAAGATTTATAAACAGTCCATAAGAAGATGAAAAGCTATTCAACATGATTAGTCATCAAAGAAATGCTAATTCTAATCACAATGAAATACCATTTCATGCCCACAAAAATAACTAAAATTTAAAATGCTGATACCACCATGAGAAAGCAGAGCTCACCTACCATACTGGTTAGAATGGAAAGTGATGAAACTGCTTTGAAGCAGCTTGGCAGTTTTTATCCTGATAAACACACACACCTACAGTGTGACTCAGCAAGTCCATTCATAGGTATTCATGCAAGAGACTAGAAACACATGTCCATCAAACTGTCCTACAGAAATGTTACGCCAGCTTTATTTGCAATAAGTAAAATTAGAAGCAATTTAAAGTATATCCACAGAATGACAGATAAGCATATCATTGTATAATCATGTAGCAGAATTTTTAAAAGAATGGCACCATGAATAAGGGTAAAACTAACCATTTTCATCTATTAGGTAATACTCTTGATGGCAGTAGTTACAGGAGAGATGGATGCCAAACTTGTTCTAGATTTGGAGGTAAGTTTTACTGTTCAAAGCTGTAATTCTCACCCTTCTCGTTCCAGTAATACTTGCATTATTAGCATGGGTGTTTAAAATCTATACTATACACTCCAGGAAATCCAGTTTTCTAAAATTTATGTATAAAACACAAGCTAGTTTTAGCAAATCAATACATAAGTAATTCCTATTCCTTATTGGAATAAACCAAGGCTTTATTTAAAGCCCTTGCCATGATGATTTTTACATATTTCTCTGTTGTCACATTTAGTACAACAAAATGTTTCAGAACCTCCCATAGACCAGATAAAGACTCATAATAAAAAGTTTAATAAAACTAGTGAAAAGAATGGCTAATTATTGAGATTATTGTGTTTGTCATACAATATGCTTATGAGTAATTTACCTACCATAGAAATTTCCACAATAGTGTGTCCTCCTGCCATTTCTCAGTTAGCACTCTGCATTTTATTATTATAACTTTATGAGTGTGCAATATTTTGCCTTGCACTATGAGTCGATCCTTTTTATTTTTCATTGTCTTCTCTGAAATTTCTCCTTACCAGAGATGAACATATCTTATACATGGCGGGTGTTCTGTAAATATTTAGAATTAATTATAATTATTTGTGGTTTATTTTGACCAGTTAGTTCATTTCAGTCATTGCTATGGAATGGTAAGTCTTCAGATGTCCAAGATTAAAGCAGATAAACTATGCTATAATTTTACCTACTTGGATTTTGTGCTAAGATACAAAGATCTTTAACTGTTTCAAACTCTCTAGAATGTTTTCAAATGGAGTCAGGCATGGTAGTGCACACCTTTAATCCCAGCACTCAGGAGGCAGAGGCAGGAAGATTTCCGTGAGATTGGGGCCAGCCTGGTCTACATAACGAGTTCCAAGCCAGCTGTGCCTAGAGGGAGACTCTTCTCAAAAAACAAAGACAAACAAACAAACAAAATGCTTTCAAATGAAAATGTATTTAAGCTAGAAGTGTAATTTGGATCCAATCAGTATTATCAATTATATGAGATTCTTTTTGTTAATTGTTGTTTGTTTTGTTTTGTTGAGAGGTGTCACTTTGTGGCCCTGGCTAGCCTGGAACTCACTATGTAGATCAGGTTGGCTTCAACTCACAGAGATCTGCCTGTCTCTGCCTCCTGAGTGCTCGGATTAAAGGTGTGTGTCACCATACCTGGTTTATACGAGCTTTTGAATAATTTAATGGAAGTTCTCATTTTTTAAAGCATTGACTTGTATTCACTATTCCTTGGACTATGTATATAATGACAAGTGTGTAGTCTGTGATGCCACTAAGATGTTGAAGAATATCTCTTTGTTCTCCAAGAAAGGAGGTCTTCCTCCCTTTATAAATGCAAGCTGAAACAGCACATTTTCAAAATGAGCTGCTAAAGTGTGCAGCATTACAAATGGATCTAAAAAAACATACTTGCTAAATAAATAGGACAAAAGAATGTATGTCTATAGATGTCAGCCAAGCTCAAGAGCAAGCATAGCTACTGTGTGGGGAGCTATCAGAACTGTAATTGATGGGGGAGACAAGCAACTATGCCAAGAGTGAAAGGGAAATAGACGTAGTGGCGAAACTATTCAACATCTCAAAAGAGATATAAGCTGTTGTATGGTGTATAGATTTGTCAAAACTCAGTGAAGTGTAACTCTTAAAATGTATGCATTTCATGCTATGTAAATTAAATTCTCATTTAAAAAGAAATAAGTCAATTTCCAAGAAGGAAATTGCTGAATGAGCCAATAAGTTAGCATTCCAAAACCTGCAAACATAGTACTATTCAACATCTCAAAAGAGATATAAGCTGTTGTATGGTGTATAGATTTGTCAAAACTCAGTGAAGTGTAACTCTTAAAATGTATGCATTTCATGCTATGTAAATTAAATTCTCATTTAAAAAGAAATAAGTCATTTTCCAAGAAGGAAATTGCTGAATGAGCCAATAAGTTAGCATTCCAAAACC